GACATGGACATGCCACTTCTGTTTTTAGGAGTCACACCCAACCATGATTTTTTGTAGGGGGACAATCATCATATTTCAAGAGTTTTGTTTTGTTTGAGTGACAACAGAACAAATGTAGCTAGTTACATAAATAAGTGATTTTAAGACCAAGCATTTGCCAAATGGTCACATCGGGAGTGGATTCTGGACAAAGCCAAAATGCAGCAACTACAAATTTAGACAAAATGGTTTGAATCATGTCTATGATCTGTGACAGATGATTCAGCTATACTCAAATTTAGTGTGAAATTGATATTCAAACAATCAATTATTGAATTAAACCATTCATTTAAAAAGGACCTTAAAGCCATTTTTGGCACTTTCAGTGTTGTCATAATCACTGTGTTTTGCCTTTGTAGGCAACAAAAAGTAATTAAAAAAATAAAACATAACCCTAACCCTAAAACATTGTGCAAAAAAACCCAAGATTTTTCTAATTTAATTCTACCAATGAGACTTTCTTGATATCAATACAGTTGTATCAACCTAACATTTGACTTTCTTCCTGCTACCCACCACCAAAAAAACAAATGTTTAAAATTAATTTTTAATCCATAAATTAAAATGTGCTCAAGTTTAGAAAAATTATTGCACATAAAACACATAAATAGGAGAAAAAATGTCTGCCTCTTAGCCAATCAGTTACAACTAGTAAATAAAAAAAATGTTCTAGTACAACTAGTTACAATTAGTCAGAAAAAAGTAAAATCATTTATATACACCAGCAAATCTGATTAGATTTATAATGTGTCCCTTCAATGTTTTTTTTCAGATTGTTCCCACTGAGCTCAATGTTCAACATTTCATGCACAAATTTTGAAGCTTTGGGAAATTGGCTTACATTTTAAAATGACCCATTAGCGCACAGTAAAACAGCTGTGCGTCAGTAATGCAGTCCATGTGAGATCATCCAAATTTGGCCATCATCAACTGGCCAGCGAAAGCAGAGCTTTCCCTGCCAATCACACGACGAAACAAGGCCAGTGACCTCACAATGACCAATAGAAAGCAGTTTACATATTTCAAAAGACCCATTTTCATGGTTTTTCAGAAATATGTCATGATCGCACAGAAAGGCAATCATTCCCCAGAGAACATACAGTGAGGGGAAAGAGTTTTGGCCGAGAGGGCTGAAGCATCCAAGTTCCTGAGGCTCAATAAAAGTGTCATCGGGTGTAGTGAAGAGTGGGGATATAAAAAAGGGCCTGTAGCCCTGAGTTCTTGCTTGCTCCACCAGGGAAATTCCCTTTGTCTTAGTGTATGCAACTAATTATAGAAGGAAAGCTGTGCTGCAAATGGTGTCTATAAAATAATAAGTGTCTCTCCATAAAGTTCAAGGTGACAAACTAGCATGCAGCCCCATCAATTTATCAACAGTGGGAAAAGGGGGGCTAATGGACCTTTTAGTAGCCAGGAAAAGCAAGCGCTATGTCAATCATAGTGTACCAAGCCTGGAAGTTAAACAGTTATATATTACAAACAGGAATGTTTCTAGTGATCAACGATAAGAGATAAAAAAAAAAGACAAATGGATAATGATCCAGGCAGGGCATAGTGTAGACAGAAGGAATGACGCAGAAAAGTCGTGATCTTTGACCTGGATGAAAGAACGCAGCAGGGGTGCAAACAAAAACCTGGGGTAATCAAGAGTCGTAGAGAAGCGTAGGAGGGTGGGGACGAATTACTCATGGAGGACGCATCCAAGTCGGGCAGAGAGACAGTGCGGTTTTGAGTCACCAGACAGAAGACGGCATTCACAGCTGTGCGTGTGCACACACCTGCACTTGGAAACCCTCCCAAACGCACCCGCTCCGTCACCACTGCAAACACAAGACTCCTTGAGATGGACAGAGTCCGCAAACTCCACCGTCAACAAACTCGTCCCCTCCCAAACCCATCAACTCTTTGAACCACTTCCAGCTCTTTTCTCCTCCACCAGTGTCGGAAATGCCGGTGTTTGAGGGAGATGGGTGTAAAGTTCAGGCTCTTGGCTGCTGAGGGACTGCTCTTGTGTTCATTCTGGGGGCTTCGGAGTTCGGAGTTGGGGGGGATTCTGTCTGTGTTTGCATTACTACCTCCATCAAAACCTCGACATCTGCTGGGCAGATGCTCTTATCTGGGAATATCTGAGAACATTTGCATTCGAGATGAAAATGAAACCTCAAAATAATCTAATTTTCTAATAGAGTGCTGCAGCCGTGAAGTCAAATTCAGGAAGGAATATTTGCCATGGGTTCCCTTAAGATTTTCCTATGGGTTTTTAATTCATGAGTAAAAAAAGGTATGTGGGAAATATTAATTGGTGATACTTGGACGTTTTGCTCTTTAATGTTAATTAGACACAACCATATGCCAATTTTGCAGTTTGCAGAAGCAGTTGTTTATTTTTAAAAACATTTGTTTGTAATAAGTAATCAAATAACTAAAGTAACTAAGTAACTTATTAATAAGAAGGTTTGGGGTGTGAGTGTGTGCCGTTTACGTTGTACAACAAAACTTCCAAGAATCACCAAGTTGCAGACCTTTTTTATTTACAAATTGCAAACAAATCTATTTTTGTTTTCTTTGCACACAAAAAGCATTCTCGTAGCTTCATAAAATTAAGGTTGAACCACTGTTGTCACATGGATTATTTTAATGATGTCCTTACTACCTTTTTTGGGCCTTACATGTGCGTTGCTGTCTATGCAGGGTCTGAAAGCTCTCAGATTTCATCAAAAATATCTTAATTTGAGTTCTGAAGAAGAACAAAGGTCTTATGGGTTTGGAACGACATAAGGGTGAGTAATTAATGACAGAATTGACATTTTTGGGTGAACTATCCCTTTAATAATTTAAAAAACCTTTATCAAAACCTTTAGTGCAGTGTAAAGGTTCTATGGATGTTAAAGGTATATCATGGAACCATGAATGCCAATAAAGAACTTAAAAGTAAGCATTAAAGCAACAAAAATACTGGCACTATGAAAGACGATACACAGAATTCGAGCTGCGCTTTACACCTCAGATGCAGGTTGTACCGCATCTCTCCATAAGGGACATGGAGCATGGAGCTGGGAAGCTCATCAGCCCAAATTCTTGTAGCTGGGGTGCAGGAAATGGGGATTTGGCGTATTCCCTCTGAGCTCTTAGGAGGAGGGGGTCTGTCTCCTAAATTCATGGTAAACTAAGCAGCAGGCCGGCATTAGCAAGACAGTTTTCCAAGTGAATAAGTGGATGGTGAAAAGGGGATGTTGGTTTTCAAAGCAAACAGAGCTTTGCATGTTAACCTTCACATTCAAAGGTCCAAACATCCAGAGGGAAGGTTTGGCTGACTTCCTGCCTCTCAGTTCAGATTCCATGACCATTCATGAAGCCTATTCTTCTCTTTGATATGATGAAAATGACCAAACAATACCCTTTTCCCCCCTAAAGACCCAAATGGGCAACATTTAAGATATTGTTTTGCCCTGAGATATGCTGCAATTTTCAAAATAACATAATAAGCTGGAAGAACAATGAAGTGTCATTTGTGGAGAGTTTAAAGAGCTCAAATCCATGTGTGTTGACATTTTTAAAGAAAATGTAGGCCTTGAAGCCGGTCAAGAATGCATGTGTCTTGTGTGTTTGAAAGGAAAATAAACATGACCCCACTGATCTACTGACAGACAAAATGGCAGACAAACTGTGTGGGGTGTGTTTAGGTCATAAAGCACATCAGCATAAACTCACAAAACAACACTATAATGACATTCAGAATACCTGGGATGCATTACATACATTTTTGTCCAATCAATCACATGATTTCATTGATCCAAATTGAAGCCAAATTTATTTTTGAGAAACTGACATATTTTGGGGTTAACATACAGATTCCCACTTGTAACGACTGGCATCTTTTCAATGAGTTTGTATTCCCGGCTGAACTAACGAGTGAGTAAATTAAGACCAGACGGGATTCATTGGGAAGTTTTATTTGTCCACCCCGAATAGTCAGCATTCCAGCTGCTAAAGAAAATAGTGTTTGTTGAGCAAGAGGGGGGCTGTAGAGAAGTTGAGAAAGCTTGGACTTTAAATGTCTGACAAAAGATCTGATGCTCAAAGTAATCCCATGTTGAAGGGTTTTCCACTGCTGCTTATGAGCTAAGACTGAGGTAATACACATATCTTAAGAAACGAGTCTATAACATCTCAAATCAGCCTAAGGTGGTTAACCAGTCTGGTTTGATGGTTTTAGAGGGGTTTTGGACACATGCCAGGCTGGAAAACAAGCTTAAACCAACCTAAACCAGTAACAAAGTTTACAGTAGAACCCTGCTGAAAAATCACCTTAGTCCAGCCCAAACTGGTTTGCTGGTCTTTGCTGGTTTAAGATGGTTTTGTCCAATTTGGTCTCACAATCAAGTGTTTTTAGTAGGTTTTGCTGCTCTAACTAGATAAGAGTGCAAAAAATCCATCTAAAAGCCAGACAACAGACAACCTTATAGCCTGGGAGACCGGTTAAGACCAGCCAACCATCTTAGGTTGATTTAAGCCATTTTTCATGCAGGCTACAGAGAAATAAAAGCATACTGCATCTTTTATGAAAACATAATTAGGAACTGTGTGACATTAATCTGGAGGGAGTAAACAAATCTAAAGTAATATTACTAGACAAAAGGAGGATTTGTTGTAGCTACTAAACAAGAATGAGTTTACAGGTTCAAGACATGATGATGATGATGACAAACACCCACACACGTCTTGGCTTGCACACATATGAATAGCCTATACTGTGTGTTATATAAATCTCTTTGCTTAATTAACTAATCAATTTATATGCCAGTTGTTAGACGCTAAGAAATATTATTTTCAAAACTAGCTAAATATAGGCCTAGTGTAAAGTGTTAATGCTGTACAATCTATCTTTAAGATGGTTCGCTTATCTCTGATCCTGAGAAAATCACATTGAAAAGTATGACAAGCGGTAACACACAGCCTACCTTTACAGCTGTGCTGATCGGAGACATCAAAAGTAACGCAGCCAATGTACGTACTCCGTTTCCAATCCTAATATCCCACTTTTGATGAAAAGGATCAACAGTTTTCCCAGCTCGTGCGCATCAGTGAGTAGTCCTGCTTGCTTTGACTAAACAGCGCGTCTGGACGCTTGGCTTCCCATATTGTAATGTACTAAGCAATGCTGGATTCTCCAGTGTTCAGTTTCCAACACTTCCAGTTGTCATCCTCACTGCATTTACTGTCCGATATATGAGTAACAGTCGCGCGTCACTCACTACAGACGCTCCGTGCGTGCGAACGCTGAAAGAAACGCTAGCGTCAAAAACTCAACGTTAGGAATGGAACATCTTCCTTTTGGTTTCTTAGTCTCCGTTATCCACACTCACACTACATTTAGACGGAGTAGGAAATGCATTCATTTAAACATGTTAAGAAAACGCTAGTGGAGAAAGAGTGAAGTGAGTTTGGAGGCTACATGTGCCTTGAAAGTAAGAGAGAGAGAGAGAGAGAGAGAGAGAGAGAGAGAGAGAGAGGAGTATTGACGTGTGCCCCCCGTGGACACGGACTCCTTGAACTTCCTGTCAGCGTTAACTCCTTTACTGCTGCTGTCCTCATTCATCATTTTGCTTCAGGGAATATGATCAGTCACCCCAAAAGAGTACAGTTACGACGGATGAGTGCAGAGATCAGCAGAGCTCCGTTTATGTTAGGAGGGAGACTCTGTGAACAGCGGTAGTTTATCAACTTTGTAGAGCTATTAAAACGCGTTAAATTAGCCGGAGAGGTAATGAAGTTGTTTTAAGGCACAGTGCCAACATCCTCAGATGTCAAATCTGTTGTGATTGCATTTGTTGTTTTTCTTTACGTTGTAGAGACCCCAATACTGTAGGGGAGACCGGGGCTAGTTGTCACACTTTTTACTCAATGCATATTTCTCAGGATGGGTTTATTTAGAGACATACCGAAAGTATCTAAATTAAATAAAAATAAATAAATATTGTTTTCCTGGAATACAAATGTAGTCCATTTAACAGTTGTATTATTATTTTTATTTTTTAGCCTACATCAATTTCATCTTACCTTTAGACATCTTTTCACACTGGGGTAAGTTGTCACATGAAAAACCATATAAAACATTAAATAAAAATTAGGGCCGGGAAACGATTAATCGCGATTAATCATATCCAAAATAAAAGTTTTTGTTTATATAATATATGTGTGTGTATTGTGTATATTCATTATGTACTATAAAGACACACACATACAGTATATATTTTGGAAAATATTTTTATAATATTATATATAAATATTTTTAATATATAAAAACACTAATATTTTTCTTAAATATATACATGCATGTGTATATATTTAAGAAAAATATTTGTGTTTTTATATATTTTTCTTAAATATATACATGCATGTGTGTGTATTTATATATATATATATAATAAACATACAAAGTACACACGCATATATTATGTACACAATAAAAGCACTAATAAAAATAAAACAACTTGCAGTATTAAACAGTCAAAAGTACATAAGGTAAAATGCAAATATATCAAACCATTGTTTTGAATGAATTTACAACCTTTAAAACACATGTGACAAATTGCCCCATTAAAAATGTGACTCTTGTCCTGAGAACACAGCTCAAAATTTCAGTTAAAATGTCCCTTCCTTATATAGTATATTGGTGTGGTTTCTCATAAAATGACAAAGCCTGTATAGCAAGATGTCATCAAAATAACTTCCTCGAAACTGAAATGACTCCAACACGCCATGCATTTAGCTTGAATAATCAAGCTAGGTTACATTTATGAGCAAAACTTAGGCATGTCAGCGCAAGTAAAGTCTTAAATCATCACCATAACGGTTTGATCACCTCACCCTTTAATCAAGCAAATATTTTGGAAGAAACTAGATGTAAAGATAAAAATTTATTGAGAACAAAAATGGGCTTCAGTTTGTTTAGAACCATTTATCCAATATACCCAAAGCATGTTTTTTTTTTTAAGAAATCCTTTTCAAACAATCTAAAATTAACTTTTTTGACACTCATGTTATACAATGTTATCAGCTGTAATAAAAGGAATGATTAGATAATGAAAAGGCCCTCATTAATGAAATTTAATTCAGTTAAATTGATAAGATAACCACAAAAACGCAAACTGACTAATTTAATTTGTAAGGAAGGTAAACTGCGCACAAAATATTTACAAGAGTGAAGACTGAAAGGAATAGATAGAGAACCAAGACATTCCAAGATTACATTTTACTTCTAGACAAACAAACTGTTGGATGTGAAGAGCTTCAAGGTGTGTGACCTTCCACATGGGGAATGGGTTTATTTTGCACAGATAAGGAAAAATGCCATGAGCATTGTTTGAATGAGGCTTTTTTTTAACACAATGTTAGGAATTCTTGTCTTCAGTTGTAGTTTAATTGTCTTGGTGTAAACAGGCTGTGCAATAACAGAAGAATGTCATTGTTGAGATGTAGTGGAATTACTCCCAGTCATAGGCAGAGACACCATTACTGAGGAAGATTCACAACTATCCAGTCTATTATCTAAAACAGGACACTGTGTATTCCATCCATATGCAAGTAATCTAATAGTGATGAAAAGTAGGCTACATTGTCATAAGAGCTGTGTCAGTAACTATAAGGTTTTGAATCCAAAAGTCCAATTGCATAAAATATTGTTTTCTTTAGCAGTGTTTGTCTATGTTGGTTTCCAAAAACATTGTTGTAATTACGAACACAATAAAACCACATGGCATCCCTTACCAAAAAGTAGTAGCCTATACTTCAAGTTTATTTTATTAAGTATACTTAAGTAAAGTTCAAGTATTTTTTTAAGTATACTTTATGCTGTAAGTACACAAATACCAGTGTACTAGTAGTATACTTGTAAATGTACTATTTCAATACTCCTTGGGACTAAATTGGCCCACTTTCTAGTATATAAAAGTATACTTTTAAGTATACTTTAAGTATAACAGTAGTAAACTTTGAGTACACAACTAGTTTACATCCATTTTTAGCTTGTACTGCAACTATACTAAAAGTGAACTTAAAGTAATTTTTTTAATCTGTAGGCTCATTTTACTTTTACTTAAGTATATTTTGTTTGAAGTATTGTACTTCACTACATTTTAAAACACATTAATTACGGAGTAAAAAAAAATATATCGCTCCCTGAAACTACTACAGTAAATAATGGGCAGGAGAGCAAACTGGGCTAAAATCACAAGATGCAGACGGACAAAACAGGCGTTAGTGGTGCAGACACAGCTGAAAACGAAACCCCGTCATATTCTGCTGAAGTTGAACTCGAAGGAAATGAAGTGAACCCCTGGCCATATTTATGCTCTATTATGCAGTGTAAGCTGTGTTTGCCTTGGGAGACCAAACTAGCAGCTTATAAAATCTCGACATCAACCCTTTGCAAGCATGTATAGGTAAGGTAAATACTTGCATCGTTGCATTGGTGGTTAAAATTCAGCTTTGACAGTTTAGCAAGAGGTTTTACACAAATTAGCCAAAAAGACAGTGGTGCGGAGTGTGCGATATATATAGTCTGCGATAATATTGTAATTGTTGTTTTAGCGATGTGCGATTTGACATTATCAGTATTTTGCCAAAAATCTAACAAAACACTCCTACAGAGTGCCGTGAAGTCTAGTAGATTAGACTAGTGCACGCGCATTTAGAGTGCGTTCTTTCACTGCGTGATTCAGTCTGTTAAAATGCATTTAGAATGATCCCAAAATTCAAGATATAGGGGCAGAAAAATTATATATTTATATCATTTCATATAGTAAATCAATATCACACAGAGAATGCCATTTTTTCCTCCAAAAATCAGCATGATTACATGTAGATTTTTTTTTTTTTTACAACATTTCAATAAACAAGAAGTTAATTAGGAGACTTGCGTTTTAGACACCATTTTGCCTGTTTTTGCTCTATTTCTACAACAAAAATAATTCCAAACACAGCCACAGCACAGTTTTGCGTCTCTGAGCAACATGATGCTGTTTCGTTCCTGAATGAATCAACCGTTTAAATGATCCGGTTCAATCGCAATGACTCACTTATTAACAGTGACTTGCTGACACCTACTGGCCGTTTTAATTTCACATTTAAAGTATCTTTTGATTTTTTTTTTATTATAATATCATATATATATCATATCATATATAATATAATATCAAATGAGTATTCAACATTTTATGTCTTGTATATCAAAACATTCTTTTTGCATTTGTAACTGCAGGTTAAATGCATTCATGTCCTGCATTAAACAGTCTGTAAATACATCTAAATGCCACTTCCGATGAAGCTTCTGCGTTTCCTTTGCATCGAAAAGATGAATTTTGTTGATACTGATTTAATTTGCATGGTAACAGCCCAAATGTCTTATTATTCTAAATAACTGATTCCTTTAATTAAAAACAACTAGTTTGAGATTTATAGGCCTATACCCAGTGGTGTCAAACTCAGTTTCTGGAGGGCCGCAGCCCTGCAGAGTTTACTTCCAACCCTGCTCCAACACACATACCATGTAGTTTTCAAATAAGCCTAAATGATTAGATGTGTTTAATTAGGGTTATATCTAAACTGTGCAGGGCTGTGGCCCTCCAGGAACTGAGTTTGACACCCTTGGCCTATCCCATTTTTGCCTCCCTCCCACTGTTAAAATGTAACTAAGTAATTTTTACTCTGAGTACATTTTAAATGAGCTACTTTTTACTTTTACTTGAGTAGATTTTTTAGACTGGTACTTTTACTTGTACTTAAGTAAAATTTCATTAATGTAATGGTACTTTTACTTGAGTAGAATATTTTCGTACTCTTTCCACCTCTGCTTAACCGCGTACATTTTGCTCAAAACCAATTATATGCTATAATACAGATATGTTGTTGCAGATGGCTTATTTATTTCAAAAATGATATTGTTCTTAAATCAGCAGCTTCCCATTGTTACATCCTACCAAGCTACAGGGGCATGTTGTCACCAAAGGTCACACATCCATGTGTTAGATAACTAGATAACCTTTGTGCAAAATAATGTTCAATAAGTTGTGTAGTCAAGGTATAGTTCATAAAAATGAACATTTTGTCATCATGTCATCATCCTCATGTTTCAAATCTGTCTGACTCTGTATGTGTTTGGAGAATACTGATTCATATGGTACGGAGAAAAAAGAACCCTAAAACATTTCTTAAGATATATTTTGTATTCCGCAGAAAAAGGGAAGTCATAAGTTTGGAACAACATGAGCAATATTTCTACAGAACTTTGGCCAGAAAAATATACACTGAAGTAAAATAAATATTACTAATAGCCTCAGTATCCCCTATACACTTTACCTTACATAATATATTAAAGGATAATGGTTTCAACCAGGTCCCATGACAAAGGTCCCCTAAGGCCACCAGGGAACTCTATTCTAAAACAGGAAACTAAAAACCGA